TAAAAAGGGAAACAAAAATTTTTGCCATCCTTCCCCAAAATTCCATACAGCAACTTTTAATTGAGGGCCAGAGAATACTATGTTTATTTTTCTTTGAGTGGGACTCACGGCTCTTGCTCTGATACAGTGTTAATTCTAAACTGCTCAAAGAGAGAAAGAAACTTGCCCTTAGGCAAACCGGCATTTTGCCCTGGGATTGAGAAAGGTCTTTCCTACTGTGGGGGGACCCAACTAATTCACATTTAGAGTCACCCAGGGCATCATCTGCCCTGTGAGGCTCTATTAAGCAGGGACATTCCAATCTCCCTCTCTTGCTCCCCATATCACACTCAAGTACCTATTCAAGCAATAGCTGGGCTTATATGTAATCTCTCCCAGTTAGGTTGTGAGTATGTAAGGCATATCCCAGTTAGGTTGCTAAATAAAGGCATAATGCTTTATTTAGAGATATCAATAAATAAAATATATGCATGAAAAATGTATAACCTCACTTCATATAAAATTAGACAACTGGCATTGAGCGGATTGCCCATTTTTAATAGTAATAATGTTTCTAATAGCAATAATAATTAAATAGGGCCCTCCTGAGGACCTTTCACCTTCTAGAGTGTCTCGGAAGCAGACTGGCACGAGAGCAGCCCTGGGTTGTAAATGATAGATGTGACATCACTGCCTTAATGGTCTGACCAGCACACCCGTGCCTCCGATGGGAGCCTCGTTCTTAAGCCATGGACAAGAGAGCTATTCTTACTGTATTGATTTGGTGTAACTATATTTTTAAGCTCAAAATTCAATTAGTTTCCTGAGAAAGGCACCTCTTACTCTTCATGCATGACCTCTGGTTCATTGTGGACCAGAAAATAGAGCTGAGCCAGGACTGCCATAGAGGCTTATCGAGTTAGAGTCAGACTCTCTGGGAACAAGGGAGCCAGCCCGGGCCCTGGGAGGCTGGTTCTGAGAACACTCGGTGATGCAGGAGGCAGGAAGCAGGAAGCAGGAAGCAGGAGATTTGACCCTCTTGTGTATGAGCTTATTTATGAGCTTCCAAGGGCTATGTCTGCATTATTCAGGCTTTGACTACTTTTGCTTTTATTTCACTTCTTTTGTTCAGACGGATACCACTCCCCAGTACCTTTCTAGAACTGGCAGTGCTCTTTCCAATCCTCGTTTATAATTCTTCTCAGGTGGGATTTTGTCCTCAGTGTCTTGGGCATCCATATTCAGCCCTGGTGGACAGACTGCTGAAGATTTCCTTCCCTCACATCTAGATCCATGCCTTTCTCTCTGATTTTTTACCCTCTCAGTCTTCAGCTAAGCCTGAGTAAGATCATTTGAAAGAAATTATTGTGGCCTCGGGCGCCTGGGTGGCTCAGTTGGTTAAGTGACTGCCTTCGGCTCAGGTCATGATCCTGGGGTCCCGGGATCGAGTCCCGCATCGGACTCCCTGCTCAGCGGGGAGTCTGCTTCTCCCTCTGACCCTCTTCCCTCTCGTGCTCTCTCTCATTCTCTCTCTCTCTCTCTCTCAAATAAATAAATAAAATCTTTAAAAAAAAAAAAAGAAATTATTGTGGCCTCTCCATACAATGGGACAGTATTCATCAACAAAATGGAATGAACCATTGATACAACAACATGGATGCATCTCAAGGGCATTTTGCTCAGTGTAAAAGGCCAATCTCAAAAGGTCACATACTGCATGATTCCATTTATATAATGTTTTTGAAATGGCATAATTAAAGAGAAGAGACTCATGGTTCCCCGGGGGGAGTGTGGGTATAAAGGGGGAGCATAAGAGAGATTTCTACAGTGATAGGACAGTTTTGTGTTCTGAATGGGGAGCTGCTTACATGAACCTACACAGGTGATAAAATGACACAGTTATACACATACTTCATAGCAGTGTAAATCTTCTGGATTTGACATTGTCTTCTACTTCTATAAGATGTGACCGATGGGGAAATGGGGCGATAGGTATACAGGATCTCTTTGTACTATCTTTGCAGCTTTCTGTCAATTTATACTTATTTCAAAAAATGTTTTTTTCCCTTAAAAAAAGGAATAAAGTATTCATAATGCAACAATATGGATGAATCTCAAAATAATTATGCTGAGTATAAGAAACTAGTCAAAAAAGTACAAAGGAAAAATATAGACGAATTGTACTACCTCAAAACTAAAAATGTTTATGTGCAAACACCTTCAAGGGGGTATTATGCTAAGCGAAATAAGTCAATGAGAGAAAGACAAGTATCATATGATCTCACTGATATGAGGAATTCTTAATCTCAGGAAACAAACTGAGGGTTGCTGGAGTGGTGGGGGTGGGAGGGATGAGGTGACTGGGTGATAGACATTGGGGAGGGTATGTGCTATGGTGAGCACTAATGAAGGGGGGGAAATCAGAGGGGGAGACGAACCATGAGACTATGGACTCTGAGAAACAAACAGTGTTTTAGAGGAGAGAGAGGGGGGGGGATGGGTTAGCCCAGTGATGGGTATTAAGGAAGGCACGTATTGCGTGGAGCACTGGATGTTATATGCAAACAATGAATCATGGAACACTACATAAAAAAAATTTTTTTAAATAAATATTTAAAAAAATTTTAAAAAGAACGAGAAAAGACAAAAAAAAAAGTGAAAAGACAACCCACATGGTGTGAGAAAGCATTTGCAAATCATAACCATCTGATAAAGGGTTTATATCCAGAATATATAAAGAACACTTACAACTCAATAATAAAATGACAACCCAGCTGAGAAATAGGCAAGATTTAAGTGGACATTTCTCCAAAGAATAGATAAGAATGACCAATAAGCACACGAAAAGGTGCTCAACATCATTAGCCATCAGGAAAATGCATATCCAAACTAGGACGAGATAGCTGTTCTCACTCCCTAGGACGGCAGTAATAAAAAAGACAGATAATAACAAGTGTTGATGGGGTGTTGGAGATATTTGGAACTCTCATACAGGTGTTGGAGATATTTGGGACTCTCCTACACTGCTGACGGGAACAGAACAAGGTGCAGCTGCTTTGGAAGAGGGTTCCTCAAAATGTTAAACATAGTTACCAGATGACCCAGCAATTCCACTCCTAGGTGTCTACCCAAGAGAACTGAAAACATGTTCATGCAAAAACTTGTTCATGATGCTTCATAACAGCATGATTCATAATAGCCAAGAAGTAAATGACCCAAATGCCCGTGAACTGATGAATGGATAAATGAATTGTGGATTATTCAACAATAAAGGGGAATGAAGTAACAAAACATGCTGCAACATGGATGAACCTTGAAAACATTGTGTTAAATGAAAGGAGCAAGTTGTAGAAGTTCATATATTGTATGACTTAATTTATATGAGATGACCAGAGTAGGCAAATCTATACGGACAGAAAGCAGATTGCTTGTTGCCGAGGGCTAGGCAATGGGGATGGGGTGGGGAATGACTGATCGTGGGTAGGGGGTTTCTTTGGGAGGGGATGGAAGTTTTCTAAACTTAGATGTAGTAATGGTTGCGCAACTCTGTAAATATAATAAAAGCCACTGAATTGTACACCTTTAAATGGATATATTTCATGGTGTATGAATTATATCTAAATAAAATGTTTAAAAGGAGTACATACTGTATGATTACATTTATAGAACATTCTTGAAAATGCAGACTAACCTATGGTGACAGAAAATATTAACCATCACTTGGGAACAAGAAGAAGTGTAAAGGGACATGACAAAACTTCTTGGAAAGTGATGGAAGTGATGGAACTGTTCACTGACTTGACTGTGTGATGGTTTTGTGGGTGTACACATCTTTCAAAGCTTATCAGATTGTATACTTTAAGGGTGCCGTTTATTATATGTCAACAATCACTCAATTAAAAAAACAGCAAAAACGTGTGTGAGCTTCACAAATAATAATATATGTATTATTTATTAAAAAATAATTTGACAAATATTTATTGGGTACTGGTACAGTGTTAGCTCCTGGGGATACAATGGCGGGGAAAAGATGGGTCCAGCCTTCAAGCAGTTCATCCAGGCACGAGGAAAGGAAGATGCATTTTGTTGCAAAATGGTTTATATACCATTTCGAGCCTAGGAAGTCATGGTCACCTTCATGGGGAGGATTTCTGGAAGTGACGGCCCTTGAGCTCAGCCTTCAAGGACAAATGGGAATTAGAGGTAGAAGGTGGGGTTTGTGAAGTCATAGTGGGCCTCCTTCCTGACACTAATATAGGGGGAGCTGTAGGAGCACCTCGTAAGTACTTGTTACATCTCAGAGGTACTTGATTTTATTTTTGCCACATTACAGTCACGCTCTTCACCCCAAGAGCCACATCACAGTGGAGTGGATTGTTGTATTTACATGTACCTTAACAATAAGTGTGAAGCCAGGTTATAAATAACATCCTTCATCGCTCTTGGCAGACTTGCTATTATTTCGTCACTTGTGAGGGTGTATTCAAGGTCTGTCCTTCCACTACACTGTGTGCTGTAGGAGAGCCAAGACTGAGTGTTTCCTACACCATCCTGTCCTCGGCAGGTAGTGTAGTTCTTGGCACGTTAGCAGGGCTTGAAAAAGATGACTTGCTGATAGGTTGGGAACTGGGCTGATACAGAATAACACATTTGACTGGTGGCCTCAGGTATGGCTCACACTTTTTGTGGCAAGAAGTATAAAGCAGTCTCACTGCTCGTGTCTCTCTGCCCCCCACCCCCACCCCCCGGCCACTGTTCTATGCCTCTTAGCTCTGGCCCCAGTCATGCCAGTTCCTGTTCACCCTAGCCCTGCCTACCACCTGTTTGTCCCAGTGGCCTGCTGTCAGGTGCCTCTTTAATTGGGTCCACTCCCAGAGGCTGCTGGGTGAGGTTCTTCTGAAGAGGTCAGGACAGTCTGTCCTGGAGAGGGCAGCTCTGGCCACTGGCCTGCTCTGGGCCAGTTGGGCATTCTTGGGCCCTGGCTGAAGGCCCACTCATGTGTTGTCTCTTCTCCTCCTCAGCGCTTCTGTATGCCACCATCTTTGGGAACGTGACGACCATTTTCCAGCAGATGTATGCCAACACCAACCGGTACCATGAGATGCTCAACAGCGTTCGGGACTTCCTGAAGCTCTACCAGGTGCCAAAGGGCTTGAGTGAGCGAGTCATGGATTATATCGTGTCCACCTGGTCCATGTCCAGAGGCATTGACACTGAGAAGGTAAGGAGGGCGATAAACTCAGGTGAGTCCCGTGTGTCGGCTTTCCCAGGGAGACCTGAGGCACTCCTAGGGCGGGGGGTTCTCAAACCTGGCTGTGCATCAGAATTCATTTGGGAAGTTTGGGGTTCCCACATCCTACCTCCAGAGGTTTTGGTGGCTTCCAGATCGGCTTGGCTCAAGGACCAGGAATTAAGAGATTAAGAGCCATTATTTAAGAAACTGGAAAGACAGTCTGTGTCTCCTGGAGAAGAGAAGCATTGCAAGTCTAACTGTCTGGAGCGGAATTTCCCAGACTTGTGTGATGTCAAGGCTCAGGGCCATCCCGGGGGGAGGTCATCGTCATGGCTGATTTTCCTTTGGCCTCAGGCTCTGAGATGGTACAGCATTGCCGCTGGTTCTGTTTTTCTTCAAATTTTCGATATTTTGTTCATTGGGGATTTTTTTTGCATGAATTTTGATTTTTAAAAATACTGTATTAAACTATAATTTGTCTTGATTACTAAGTTTTTAGCCCAAGGCTGTTGCCTCACTGTAGTCTCAGCTCTGATAAGATTCCCAGGATTCGTGGTCATTAAACCCAGATTCCCAGCCTCTCTCCCAGATGTATGGAATCTGGATTTAGAGGAGGGGGAGGTGTGAGGGAAAAAACTGCATTTTTAACAAGTGCCCCAGTGATCCTTTCCATCAGACAAATCTGGTGAATACTGTTCAAGGGCTTGTGCCTTACTCCTCATTGGCTTGAGGAAAACATCAGTTAGACATCTCTCTAAGGCTAAGGTATCAGTTTTCCCATCTGTAGAATGGAAACAGCCATAAATCCCTATTGTTCTCTAAGAGTTGCATTATTCTAGATGAATTTCAATAAAGTGAAGAAACTTTGGGGGCTGGGAGAACAGAGAAAAGATACAGTGGACTTCCTATTCACTTCTCAATTATCTCCTGTGTATATTTTCTATAAGCAAACATGTTTTCCTGGGTCTGTTTTTCTCTACTTCTCAGTGTTTTCCACCCCACTTCTCCTTTTACTGCCAATCTCTTAAGTACTTGGGGAATTCTGATTCCTTTCATTGTCAGAATAAGAAAAACAGAAGATAATGCTGTTGCAGAAATATAACACATTCAAAGCCAAATTCAGCTGACTTTGGATTAGCTGTCCTTGCTCGTACTCTTCCTCCATTAGAATAGTTAGTTGACAGTTGACAGTTTAAAAGGAAAACTTGAACTCAATTTAATTGATTCCCACTTAAAAGGTACGATAATTCCGTTTTGTTGAAAATCGGCCATAATCACAACAGTAACATACTAAGCTCGCCACCGTAGCCCCAGCTACCCTGCCTCGAATGCGCGTTAGGAACAGGTATTTATCGCGCTCTCTGTGTGCTGGCCCCGCATTCACGCTTCAGGGATGCTCTACAGCAACTCTGGGAGGGAGCCGCTGTTATTTCGACCCAAGAGACGAGGACACAGAGGCCCAGTGTGTTTTGTTAACTGCCTGTGGTCATCGAATTAAGAATGGCAAAGTCAGGATTTGAATTTGGTTTTGTCTGACTTGGAAGCTTGTGCTTTTCCTACTATTACTTTTTTTTTTTTTTTTAATTTAAAACATGTACTGGAGGGAAGAAAGATGAGAAGATGAGTCCAGATGGAGTTGCCCTCATTTCTCACCCGGGCAGGGCATCAGTTGGCTGGGTCTGAGTCCCTGGCTTCGCCAATAACTGTGTCTGGTGCTTTTGCTTCGTTCAGCGAGGCATGCAGGTTCTGTGGGTGCCTGGCCACCGCTGGATCAGAAAGCAACTTTGATCTCTCAGCCCTGGAGATTTTCCCAGGAGCCAGGGTAGCTTTGTAAATCTGGTTGTCTGGAAAGAAGCCCTTCCCCACCCCACTGCAGGGCTGGGCTGGGTGGCTGCCCACGGGAGACAGCCCCGGCAGCGTTTGCCCGCCCTGCCCCTCCCTGCTGCCTCACTCTCCTGAGAGGCTTTGGGATTTGCCCCAGGTACTGGCCTTGGTGGAAGAGGGAATACTGTAGCAATTCACTGCAGGGCCCAGCCTGGCCTGGGTGGTTGCTCTTTCCGGCAGAGGCTTGGGGAAGACAGCTGCTGGGGAGGGGGCCAGTCCCCAGGTCCCAGGTCCCCTCCATCCTGGGTCAGAATGGTCAGGGATGACCACAGGAGCCTAGGGGTGTGTGTCTGGGGGAGGGAGAGGCGGTGCCGGGCTCCTCTCGTTTGACCGGCAATTAGCTGGTGACTATGAGCATGTCGCCTGTTCCTCTGAGCCTCAGTTTCCATGTCTGTGACACATGGACACTAGATGCCTTTTAGTACTAAGGCCAACCTCCTAGGCCCCTTCATCTATGGCCTTCTGGACTTAAGAGCCTCCCTCAGCCTGACCCACTGCCCCGCGGTGCTAACAACATCAGAAGTGAAAGCTCACACGCAGTGAGCCCTTGTGTGTGCCAGGCATTGCTCCAGCACTTTCCACATATCGGTTCATGGAATCCTCAGAAGAATTCTGTACTCACGTTCAAAACTGAAGACTTGGGAAAGGAAGCTAAGTATGGCTTCAAGTTCGCAGGAATAGTAAACATTTAAGTCAGGAATTGAATCCGGGTCTGCCTGATTTTAAAGACAATTCTCTCAACCATGTGTCTGTCCTGTCCGGCCTGGGGAGTTTCCATGAGCCTCCATGGTGACATTTCCCTGTGGCCTTTGAGGTCCTCAAGAACCAGCAGGGATGGTCTCTCCTCAGGACCTAACAGAAGGGAAGGTGCCCAGGAAGGGGTCTGCAGCTGAGAAGCATTCAGCTCAGAGAGAAGGACTCAGGACCCCCTAAGCTGCCCAGTGTGGAGCCAATAGGAGAATGATGGAGATGCCTGATGGCCATGGCAGACCGGGTTGTTTGACCCCCAGCTTCCCTCTCCTCCTCACATGTGCTTTCCAGTGGATCCAGGAACAGGGCCAATGAGTAAAACATTGTCTCCATGCCAAGGCCTCGTTCACTAGCAGCCTTTTCCAGCAAAGCCCAGCCCAGGGGAAACCAAATTTTGAAAGGTGAACTTACCTGGAGAACAAATGTTTGTTTTGAACTGCTGGGTACTGTTCTGACACGACATCCAAGTGTTCTCCACTCCCTGGTGTTCTGCTTGGGGAGAAGAGGATCCAAATTCAATCTGCATTTCTACAGGAGTCTTGTTTTTCACTGAGCTGGAAGGAGGGAAACACTCAGCAAGTGCTCAGTCTAAGCTTTGGCTGTCTGAATTCTCCTGTGCCTCGGTCAGTGCTCCGTCCCCTCTCGAAGAGATCCTGCTTACTTCCTCAGCATCCCGCCACCCCAGAACGAGCAGGAAGAGGCACACAGAGCATGGGGACCAGTGTGTATGGAGCCCCTTTCCCGGGTCCTGCACTGTCCCTGGGGAAATGTACCAGTACATGTCATTTCACGTAATCCTCCCGAGCCAGTGTGAGCAGTGTGCATTTTATAGGGAAAACTCAAGTGTAGAGCGGTTAGGCCACTTGGAGGGGAAGGACCTGGGATTTCGACTGTTGGACCTCTTCTGTCCATGGACTCGCATCCATGCAGAGCCCAAGGGTGCCTGTGAGGGTGGGGTAGGAGCAACATGGTCACAGGCAAGGTGAGACTTGCGCAGAGTTTTGAAGGAGCCTGAGAAACTTCCAGATTCCAAGGTGAACTCCAGGCGCAGAGGCAGATGGCCTGCGTGGAGGCAGAGAAGCAAGGGTGCAGGGGTTACCAGCACCCCAAGGAAATGTCTTCATTGAACATGTTTGATTTTATGCCCCCACCTTTGCTTGCTAGGGTAGGATGGGACAAAGGATTATTTTAAGAACACTCCTAATTTCTCTGGAAAATTCCACTTGAAGGTGTCCTACTGTATTACTTAATGCTTGCTATGGGAGGGGCCATGCAATGGTTTCTTGTAAAAATTTAATCCAGGGAACTATTTCTCCCCCTAGAAAAGACTAAGAAATTTTCCCTTCTCGAAAGATAAGACCCACGTGACCTCTTACAGTTCTCACTGTGCCCTGAGTTTCTAGATGCTAAGAGTGGAATTACAGGTACCTTTGTTTTGGGCAGCCACATAATGTAGGAAATGGTTAGTATCGAAACTCTGGCTCTGACTCAGACTACCTAGTTTGAGAGCCCAGCTCTGCCATTTTCTGGCTGTGCAACTTTGGGGAAGTTATTTATCTTCCCTATGCCTCCCAGTTCCCTTATCGGTAAGATGGTAGCAGACTAGCACTTACATCAGCGGGTTATGTGAGGATTGAATTAGCTATTCAGTGCACATAACAATAATGTAAAATCATTGCTAAACTTCACTTATTTTGCTTATGATTCGTCTCCTCCCACGAGATGGTAAGTTACACAAGAGCAAGGGTTTTTGACTGTATTGTTCACGGCTACATCTTCAGAGCCTAGAAAGGTTCCTGGTGTATCATAAGTGCTCAGTAAGTAAATATGAAATGAATGAACGACTTTAAAGCACTTAGCAATGCCTGGCACAGAGTAAGTGCTCACTAAATGTTACTTTGTCACCCTCTTTAAGCCACACACATATTCAGACCATCAACAGTGTGAGCTCCACCTTCAAAATACATCCTGAATCGGACCTTTCCTCACTGCGTCCCAGTTCGGGTCCCCTCACTGCTCACTGAGCTGCCTGCAGGAGTGACCTAACCCAATTCCTTGGCTCCGTCCTTGCCACCTTATAGTCAGGGCCCCCGAACTCAACTCTCTAGCTGTGGTGATCCTCTTCAAAGATAGCCGAGTCTTGTCCCTCCCTGCTCACGACCCTCCAGTGTGTCCCCATCACACTCAGAATAAAATAAAAGGCTTTTCATAACCTAAGGTCTCTACGTGCGTGTGTACTTGGCATTCTCCTGAAACTTCATCTCCTATCCCGTGACTCTCTTTCACGTTGGTTTTTGCTCAGGTCCCCTCACGGCTTTGGCCTCGCTGCTGGAATGTTCTCTGACACATTTTCAGGTGTCAGCTTACATGTCGCCTCCTCAGACAAGCCTCCCCCAACTATCAATGTAAAGAGTCCCACGTACTCCTAGCCCCGACTTTCTGGCCCTTCTTCTGAGCATTTACCACAGATTTCTGTGCTCGCTGCTTACTGTCCCACAAGAGGGTAAGCTGCACTGGGACAGGCACTGTGGCTGTCCTGTCTACCCATGCCTTGAAGAGTGTAGTCTAGCCTGGTGGGGGTGACGTCCACCCCTGGGGTCGTCAGGGGCCACGGGCTGGGGAGCATAATGAGGACCCTGACGCTGTTTCTTCCTGTGCCCGGCCAGGTTCTGCAGATCTGCCCCAAGGACATGAGAGCTGACATCTGTGTGCACCTGAACCGCAAGGTGTTCAAGGAACACCCAGCTTTCCGGTTGGCCAGTGACGGCTGCCTGCGGGCCCTGGCCATGGAGTTTCAGACTGTGCACTGCGCCCCGGGGGACCTCATCTACCACGCAGGAGAGAGTGTCGACAGCCTGTGCTTTGTGGTCTCTGGCTCCCTGGAGGTGATCCAGGATGATGAGGTGGTGGCTATCCTAGGTAGGTGTGTTACCTTTGCTGGGCATACACCTCTGGGGGGGCCCAGGGTTGGCTGGGCTACGGAGCAGCTCAGGACCACTGCGGCCTCCAGCCAGGGAGAGAGTTCTCCTCAGGGCAAGGCCAGTTGCTCGCCTCTATCCAACACACAAATATTTGAGTGCTTCTGTTGGGCCAGTCGCTGTCTTAGGCACTTGGGGCATTTCAATGACAAAAATGGGTTTTGTCCTCAGCGGGCTCCCAGGCTGCTGGGGGAGAGGAGCAAATAAGCAGACACTTGCATACAGTGGAAGAAGTATCTAACTCCGTATTCAAGTGTCTGGAAGGCTTCCTGGAAGAAATGATACCTAAGCTGAAACCTACAGACGAGAGAGACGTGAAGGGACAAGGGTGTGTCCTCAGCAGAGGGAAAAACACGAGCAAAATCTCTGCAGAGAGAGAGCATGATGCATCTGTAGAACTGCAGTGTGTCCCCTTGGCATGGCCGGAGCAATACAACAAGAAGGGCCACGGGCAGAGACGAGGCTGGGCGGGAGCTACGTGCGGGGCAGATCATGGCAGGCTCTGGGAGCCACGTTAAGGGACTTGGACTTTACTTCAGGGAACCAGTGAGGGGTTTAAAGCAGGAGAGAGGCTCAGTCGGATTTGAACTTTAGAAAGATGACTGTAGTTACTGCTTGGGTAGTGACTACAGGGGGATGGCTGGGGTAGGGAGAGGAGGTTGGAGACATGCTCTCCAGGGGCAGGTGGATGGTGCCCTGAACTGACACTGTGGTGGGCAGATGGAGAGAAGCAAATGGAGTTGACTCACTTAAGAAGTCGAATCAACAAATGGTGGATTTGCTGGGGCTGGGGGCTGGGGAGAGGGAAGAGTGGATGAGGGTTGCAGGATTTCTCACTTGGATAACAAGGAAGCCCGTGTGCCAGACATTGAACTAGGGGATATGGGGGGAGGAGTGGGGTCATGGGGGGACACGTTGGTACTCTAGCATTTTGAGCATCAGCGGCCTTGAGAGAGTCATCTGATTGCCTGAGGAAGCTACAGAACAGCTCACGACTGGGGCCGTGTCTAGCTCTCCGAAGGGACCAGCCATCAAGTACCAGCCATCATTTTGGTCATCTAGTCAGTGCCAGGCATTTTACATACATATTCTCATTTAAGCGTTACAGTAAACGAATAAAATAAATAAAATAGTGATTTTATTATCCCCATTTTGCAGATGAGACAGTGAAAGCTCAAAGAGGCTAGGGAACTTGCCCAAGGCCTCACAATGCATGAGCTCCACGGAGCCAGCATCCTGGAGTCCCTCTGAGTCCAAAACCTCTACTCTGATCCATTTTGCAATACCGCAATCCTAATGATAGTTTATGTAGTTTGCAGGCCCATTAAATTGCCAGGCACTTTACATACCTATCTTTACATATGATTTCTTAAGAAACTGAGGCACAGGGAGAGGTTACATTATATGGAAGTTAGAAGTGAGATTCAAATTAAGTAGCCAAACATACATAGTACACACACACACACACACACACACACACACACACACACACACACCCCTGCTTGACTTTGGAGTGCATGATATGCAGCCTTCCTTTTGTTCCCCTGGCCCCAAGCCAGCTTGCCCTCTTGATTACATTCTGCTCGGGTTAACCCAAGGATGATTTATATTCCTTCAGCATGAGCTGGCTGATGGTCAGAGGGAGCTTGGGATCGAGACTGGGTGTGGGGTGGAGGCTGAAACTGTGCTTTGCTAAAATAAAGGTGTGGATTCCTGCTCTCCATTGAACTCTGCAGACAGGGTTAATCTGTTCTTAGCTGTCCTCATCCGCAGGGAGCTGAGATTTGACTATGTGTAGGAACAGCACACATGAAGGGAACAGCCATTGCTTTAGTATGGCAGTGCAGAGGCCATGTATCCCTTCCTTTAATCCTCATCGGTGTCCTTGATAAAGAGGACTTTCCATTGGTAATCGCTATTGGGATATCTACCTGGCTAAGAAGAAAAACTAGTGACTAGTGAGCTCTTCTTTGAGTTGGGGCTTTGAATTGATCCTTTGGTTAAGGGCATCTTTCACCTATCTCCCCTCCCCCCCTTTAAAGATTTTATTTATTTATTTGTCAGAGAGAGAGAGAGAGCATAAGCAAGGGGAGCGGCAGGCAGAGGGAGAAGCAGACTCCCAGTTGAGCAGGGAGCCCGATGGGGGACTCGATCCCAGGACCCTGGGATCACTACCTGAGCTGAAAGCAGATGTTTGGCTGAGTGAGCCACCCACGCGTCCCAGCCCATCCCCCTAATTGATAACTCACCAAATGCCTCTCCAAGGAATCTCTGCTGGTGACCCGCACCATCCCCCACACATACGCAGACACAGGGCGTCCTTGATGACCCACCTCACACAGCTGTGTGTTAGGAGTTGGGGTTGGACAGTGAAGCCTGGGGAAAGGACAGAGCTGCAGAGGGCTTGAGGAAGGCAAATGACGGCTTCCCAGCGAGGTCTCATCTTTTCTCAGCCCGGGCTTCTTGCAGGGAAGCCGACCAGGGCTTGAGCCACCATTGATTTACTTAGTCAGTTGACTGCTTCTCCAAATGCCGCCCTCTGTCTCAGGTCCTCTGCGCATCCTGCCCGCTTCAGTTAGCAGTGCGGACGGGACCTCGGGAGTCACTCAGCAGCTTCAGATTTGGGGCAGTTGTTGCCCTCAAGCTGTCCCGACTGGAAAAAGCAGGAGTGTCCCCAGGAGCCAGATTAGGTCCAAAAAGTAGGTCCAAGCTTGACATCCTAAGAAGCCTGTAACATTTCAAGACGCTGTTATTCTATAAAAGGATGTGAGACAAGTCCTTTGACCTAACTTGACCTCTGGGCCAAGAAGCATAAGATTCCCAGCTATTTGCTCCCTGGAAACTTAAGTTCAGAGTTTTGTTGTTATTGCTTCTTCCTAAATAGAATATCTTTTGCTCAATTTCCTGAAATCCAGTTGTTCGTGCAAAGGGGGTTCAGGTGACAAACGGCTGTTAGAACTAGATCTCTATTGCCTTTTGATGCATTTCAGTTCAAGCCAACCACAATTTATTGACCACCTCCTACTTACCAGGCGCCGTCATAGAATTGGGATTATCAGTGGACCACAGATTAGCCCCCTCCCCTTCCAGAAGCTTCTACAAGTGCAGGAGACTGACGTGGTGAAAAAGGCAACAGTCGCACTGGTTGATGAAGTGTTACCCCTTCTAGAGGGTCATTGGACAAGTAATTTTTGAGCAGGTACAGTACTGTATATAGTGCTCCAATGAGGAAAAAAATAAATAGCCAGGGAATCCTTAGTTATCACAAAGTGGGAGGCTTTAGAATAAAGCCCAGATCTCATCTGTCGCATTCGGTTGTCTCTACTGTCTTGTTATCAGTTCACTCATTTACATTCTGCTAATTTGTTTCTTCCTCCCAGGTCTAATATTCTGTTTAATTTTAGCACAAGAAAGGGGAAAAGAGTCTGTATTCATAACTGAGGGTGTTTAGTAAGTGTTAAAAATAGAACACTTTCTAAAAAAGTTTTCTAGGAGAGTGTTTGTCAAACTTTCTTGACTCAACTCACCATAGGAAATGGTATATTGTCTCGTGAATGAATAAACACATGTGCACACACAGTTATATGTCAAGCTCAGTGCTTACTCTTGCTGCATGAGATGCAACCTGGTGTTTTCTATTAGATTCCATTCTCTTTCATTTAAAAAGAAATTGACATCATGACTCACTAAATTGCTTTCTTGACTGACGCAAAGCTTGCAGCCTGGTGATGGGTATTAAAGAGAGCACAGGCACATACTGAATGGAGCACTGGGTGTTATATGCAAACAATGAATCATGGAACACTACATCAAAAACTAATGATGTAATGTATGGTAATTAACATAACATAATAAAAAAATAAATAAAAATAAAAATGGGGTTCCTCCAACGTCAACAATACCTCTCTTGGACTGCAAGCCTTGCTGTCCCCTGAGGACAGAAACTACGCCTGGATCATCTCTTATGATCTCCTTTTCCTCTGATGTTCTTTGCCTTACGTATGAGAGGACACCTTCCCAATCTCTTTTCAAATTCTCTTCAAAATCATTCATGGTGGAGATGCCCACATACCTGCAAGTACGTTCTTATCTTGATTCTGTGACACTTGACCAAAGTAGAGGAGTCACGGAGTTTCCTCAAGATTCCGCTTGAGTGTGGTCCATCTTCCTGCATTTCCACCTCACAAATGCAGTGTTTAGATTATCTTGCTTCTCTGTGATTTAGTGTCCCTGTAGTAACTTCTGTGGGTTTTGCATTTTAATACTTATTTGTATTTTAACCGTGGATCCATCTTGTGTCCTTCCTTTTTGTTTTGTTTTGTTGTGTTTTTCTCATCCTCTTGGGCAAGGCAGAGTCTTTTTTGCCAGACTGCACTGAGGGGTGGAAAGAACCCTGGGCCCGGAGCTGGAGACTTGCCCATAGCTCTGGATCTGTGAGAACTCCCTGCAGGAGTGCCCCCACTAAATGACAAAATCTCAGAGTCTCCTGTGTTTCTCCTAAGCCCATCATGCTGTATCAGTTGCACTTTTACTCATCTGTCCCTCCTGGGAGCTGAGATCCTTTGATTTCCTATCTTCAGCTTGGCCCAGCATATGGAAGGCACCAGGGGCCATTTGCAGAATTGAACTGAATTGAATTGAGTTTAATTGAATTGAGCCGAAAGGCAGGGAGAGACTGTGCTCTGAAGGGCCCCATAGTCTAGAATAAGGGTCTGGACTTTACCTTGTGGGGATGAGGAGCTCAGAGAGAGTTTCAAACATGAGTGACGTGAAAATTTGGGTCCCACAAATACAGAGGCGTAGAGGCTAGCTAGGAGACTCGGACTAGAAATGATGAAAGCCTACGTATGGTGGTAGAAGGGAGATGTGGGGATGAGCTGGAGCCCAGAGATATTAGGGGAGGGAGAAGCTCCAGGCTGAGGGAGGGGAGGGGAGGGAATA